TCTCTCTCTCTCTCTCTGGCAGGAGATTGATGTCCATTCACCAGGCCGACAAACACATTAACCATTATCCCAGCAAAACTTCTGCTCTGCTGGTCTCAGACTATTTTTATCTTTCTACTGGTCTTAGACTAGATCTATCAAATTCTATCTTTTGGTCTCAGATTATCAAATTTTATCTTTCTGCCTTTCCGCTTGTCTTCGATAATCAAATTCTATCGTTCTCAACACTGCTACACTAGATCTACCTACCATCTACATTTGTCGCGGCCGCGATTTTTTTTTCAACAACAATGAAAAAAAAGAAAGACACCGCATGGGGAAAAAAATCTACCCCCCCCCCCCCAAAAAACAACAACACAACAACAACAACAACAAAACAAAGACGGGGTATAAAAATCGAAAAAGACAAAAAAAAACCGAACCTTTTGTATTTTCACTAGATCTAGATCTACCGCTTGACTTCGTCTCTTTCTCCCTTGTTTTCATCACCCTATAAAGGCTGATTCACACTCACAAGGAGCAGTGGGCGGCGACGGAAAGAGTCCGTCGGCTGTGTTTGAAAACCGCTGCTTTCTGTTTGCTCACTAGATCTATCTAGATCTAGCTGTTGTTTTCATGAGACGGAGTACTGCAGCGGAAACCTTTGCGGAACATTCGCGGTGTTTCAGCGACAGCTTCCCTGAGCGAATGTTGAGACACCATCGACGCGTCTGCACATCTGTGGCCTAGATCTACTAGAGGTTCGAACGTGGATCGACCACAAAAAGAAGAGTGAATCTAAAGAATAACCCAATTTTTAACATCTTTACTTTACTTTACTTTTATCCGCCGCTTATACCCTTTTGGGTGTCGCGGGAAGAAAGAGACGTCTCTCTGTCGTCAGTCGGAGAGCTTGGGTCAGGGGGATGCCATGAGTGGTTAGTGTTGCCCTGACTCCATCTATCCAGGTCTTTCTCGGTCGCGCTCTAACCTTGTTGCCATTGAATTTTATTTTTATGTAGGCACGTTGTGCTGGATGGTGAGTTGGTAATTGCTTGATGTCCGAACCATTTGATTCTTTGGTGTTGGGTGTGATGCATGACATCACCATTTCTCTGATTACTGAGTTTCTAGTTTTGTCTGTGCAGTGTCGACTAACCGCCACCGTGCCGTCGCAGCACACTTCTCAATATGAATTGGTCTTTGTTGGTTCATTTTTGTGGTTGTTTTATGTGCTGTTCTAACTTTGATTTCATTCTGTTGTGAAACATTTATTTTTAACATTTTTACACTCTGTGTAGCTACAAATTATATTCTGGATGCTTAAAACATTCCACAAGAAATTCTAGAGCTTTAAAAAATTAGATTAAGTTATCTCTATCAACGTAATATTGCTATATTAGTATACGTCGTCACAGAGTGTTGAAAGCTTGAACATTCATGGAAACTTTTATGGCAACATTTCCCATTTTTGTGACAACTTTTGACAACTTTTGGACAAAAAATGGCAACACACGCAGATGCTAGCACTACTTGTCTTTGTTTATTTTTCTTTCTTAAATTCTACTGTCTGTCTGTCTGCCTGTCTGCCTGTCTGCCTGTTTGTCGGTCTGTGGTTGTGTCTGTCTGTCTGTCTGAAGCTCTGTCTGTCTCATTCTACCCCATTCTCTCTCACTCATTCTCTCTCACTCGTTCTCTCTTTCTCTCCCCCTCTCTTCCCCCCCCCTCTCT